TCTCAAGTTCAGGTCCAGTTGATTCAATCAGAGACGGTGTCGAAGTGGCCTTTATGCAACACATTGCTTCGGATACGCCATCTGTTGGCCTTGCTGGACTCTTCAGTGGCGTACATCTTTAGGAAAGCTAACTCCTCAGCCGACACGATGGCTAGTTTGCGCTGGGGGTCTGATTTCGTTTGCACATAGCATTAGCAACTGCCGAGTGTGGTCCGATCGTCTGTACTTCTTGATGCTAGGGAGGTCTTCTGTGTCCGCCATCTTTCAATAGTGCCTTAGGGATAGTTGTGAGGACTCGCAAATTCCTTACATATTTCTCAAAAATTCCCTTTTATTTGAAAATTATTTGAAAATTATTATTTCATGTTATCCATAGTTCAATCACCCTAGAAAAGTGCCAATGACCAGAGGAAATTAGGGTTTTCCTATTCGTTTTCAATTTAAGGTGAAATCGGATTTTTTTCGTGTAACCGCAGTATAATTATCCGGTACCGAGTAAGGATCAAATTTGGTGCTTAAGAGTGACTTTTAAGTGAGAAATAATATGTGATTAGAAGCAATGATACAAAATTAGTGAATTGGAAGAAAAAAAACCCTAGTACGTGCGATTTAAGAGAAAATGCGTCACACCGACGTGTACCGTGCACTACCGATTGAACCACCACTTGACCACCACTTTCTTGCCATACAAGTTTATTACTAATGGAGCAAAATATCTCCTCTCTCATGATGACATCTTGGCCGAAATTAAAGGGCTAAAATGCAAGAAAGGAAAGAGAAAATTTTGTGGTGGAAATCAAGCCAAGTGTTGGCTAAACTTGTGGACACAATTTGTTCTAATCTTCTTGTCTTCTTATAAGACCAATTAAGCATCATTCTTCCCCAATTTTCTGCTGCATAGCTGGGCTAGGAGAGAGAGGAAAGGGAGAGCAAGAGAAAACAAAATTTCTTCTTGATTTGCACCATCCAAGTGCAAGAAACAAATTCTAAACCGATTAAAGTGTGAATTGTGATCTTGGGAAGCTAGGGAAGCTAAAATTTTCAAGAGGAAATGAAGTGGTACTCTTGCAAGCTTTGTTTTGAGGTATGTGCTGTCTATACTTGCTATATGGATGATCTATGTTGTATCTAAGGTTAGATAAGTGGTTGTAGTGATGATGGGAGCAAGAAATCAAGAAAGGTTCCATTAACAATCAAAAATTCCAGATTTCTGGAAATTTCTTTCCCCTTTCTGTCCGGTTTTGTTTCTTCATGTTAGAGGCCGAATTGGCCTTAGATCAAAACATGAAAGTTGTAGAGAATAGTATTTTATAGTTTCCCACAAAATTTCAACTCAATCGGAGCAACGTAGCTTGTGAAAAGACGAAAATACCCTCACTGATCTAGGTTACTTTCCAGAATTCCGCGTGGACAGTTCAGTCTCTTTGGTTGTGTTTGATCACTATAATCCGTTCAGATTTAGCCAATTGTCAAAACATGAAAGTTTTAGTACCCTGTATTAGCTTTTCAACGCCACCAAGAACGTCTTAAACGGACCTCGGTAGACTGGGATATGGTCATTTGAATGCAGTGCGGTTAATTAACCGACTAGTTGGATTTTGAATCTGTAAAGTGGGAATTTGACTAGATTGCATTGTAAATCTGACTGAGTCATCTTCATGAGAATTGTATACATTTGTCTTAGTTTTCATATGGCTTTGAAATTACTGGATTTGGAGTTATGTGTGCTGAGATCAGAGTGGATGAATCAAGACTACCACAGTAAACCTTGAACTAGAAAATCTGGGATCATTTTGATAAATTCGACCTAGATACAGGGTAAACTGGACTGAGTGGCCTTCTTCAACATTGTAGCCCTGTGTCTTAGCTTCGAAACGGCATAAGTTTCATCCCAATCCGATAAGTGTAACTCCGGTTGTGACCGTTATGCATGAACCCGTCAAAACTGTCTTTTGTCAAATTGCATTTCCGCACTTGTTATTACTTTAATTTTTGTTCTTATATTGTCTTGAGCCTATGAAATGGCTATTATGATGAGTTTGTGGTGTACATGACTTTGGGATTGGCTGAGAAAAATCATGAAGCCATAAATGGCTGGAAAATTAGGTAAACACAAAGGGCATGCTGCCCAAATTTTCGCCCGAAAGCTAAGTTCTATTTGAACTTGTATAATACTATGACCGTTTTTCCATCTTAAAAACATGATCCTTCTTCAATTGGAAACTCCAAATGTTTACTTACTCTTACCAAATAAAGAGGAGTGGTTTAGGATTTTCTTGAGTATTTTGTCCTTTCTTTTTCATGAATTTCATTAAGACAATTAGTCTATAATATCTACTTGAAAATGAGATAAGTTTCAACCATATAAACGATTCCGAAAACGGTATTTCTTAGTCTATCTAGTTGGATTTTGACTTGTCTTTAGTTCAAGTGTTTCCATTAGAAAATTTTATAACCCTTTTGAGTTTGGTTTTACGTATGGTCTAGGAAACCCTAGTTATTTTTGTCCACAGTCCAAATGTCCTCGTTCCACTTTAAAGTCTTTTATACGTTCTACTCATCATTTGTCGAGCTTCTTTGATTGCACCTAATTGTTTGTGATAAATGAGTGGTAATATTCTTTTCATTTAATTTTAGGTTTTCTCAGTGACTAAAGATAATATCCGGAAGGATATTTTGCACGTTGTTGTGCGTAAATAGGTGAGTGTTCTATATACGTTTTGTTTCTATGACTATGTGGATTGTTGTGACTATGTGGTTATTTGTGAATATTTGATTAAATGTTAATTGTTTTCTATGATTTCTAAAATGAACTTTTGCTAGGCGAGTGTGTACTTTATCGCACTCGACCTAAATGAATATGAAATTTTCGGTGATTAAATGTTGAAATACTAGTTGCGCATGAATGTAAGCCTTTATGGCTGAACGGGGCCCTTGCCCTTGTTACCGATCGACTCGAGCCAGAAGCGGACTCGGTCGGGCGATATGGTGACTTGGGTGAATTTGGTATACTCGAGTATTACCTTGTAGTCCGGCTAACGTCCGGATGGGTGGAGTCCGGCCAATGTCCGGATGGGTGGAGTCCGGCCAACGTCCGGAAAGGGATGAATGAACGAACGCAGGCACGAGGGTTTTACTTCTCAAAAAGGAAATTCTCAAATCATTGGAGGAATAAGGGGAAATGTCAAGGGAACGAACGAACGAGCAAATAGCTCCTTGTGAGCCTGTATCCTTTTAATGAATGTATTATCATTGCTTTATATTGGACATGTTTTCTGGATTAAATGTTATTACATGACTAATGTTCCTTGTTTAATTACTTGTTTATATATATAGAACCTCACTGGGTTTTTTAGCTCATACCACGTAAATTGTTTTCCTTAGCAGGGGAAGGCGAGCAAGGACGAGAGTTCTGTATAGTCTAGTTGATCTAGTTCTTTGTCCTTGCAATGGTTCTCGCCCTAGTGCTTGGCACGGGCTGGTTGTATGAGGAATGAGAACCCTCGTATATTCGATGTTTGTACTTGAATGGTAAACACTTTGAAGACTTCTAGTGTGTAGAAGTTTCTTATCTTTTACTTGAGCATCTATTGTCTATGGATGTATATACATGATACGAGTGAGTGAGTCCTGGCGAGAGCTGGGCAGGCGACCCGCCGAACTCTTTGGTACGCCCTAGGGTGAGGTGGGGCCGTCACAATAGTCCTCTGGATAGCTGTCCGCCTGCTGGCGCCCAATGTACACTCTATTGGTTTTCAATAAAAGAAGTAGTTGATTTTTAAAAAAAAATCATGTGGCCTTGCTTCTGTTTCATTTACATATCTTTGTCATTCACACTTTTTATTGCCATAATATTTTTATCTCTTTTCCCGTTGCATGAATTCTCTTTGTTAGAGTTGTTATCTGCTTTTTAATATGAAAATTTTGCTATCGCATCTATTATAAACTGTATGGCTTTTGCTATGAAGAGTCATCTTCTGATATGGGCTGAAAGCGCAAATATATTTCTAAAGATGAACGTCTTATACAAGCTAATCAGCACCGATGAAAAAGATATGCTAAGAACGTAGCAGAAAAACAGAAACTGTAGACACCAAATTTTTGGTGTAATTTCATTTACTGTTTATTTTTAATTTTTTATTTGTCGTGTTAGTTTTATTCGATTTTTAGTTTTTAGTTTATAGTTTTATTTTTATTTTTAAGTTTTTAGCATAGGATTTCTTGAAAAAAAAAGAAAAAGAAAAAAAGAAAAGAAAAAAAGGAAAATCATGAAAAAAAGGAAAAAGGAAAAGGAAAAAATAGCAATTTTGTTTTATTTGGTTTTATTTATCTATTTTAGTCATTTCTACTTAATTTATCTTTTATTTTTGTTTGGTTCATTTAGAAAAAAAGAAAAGAGCAAAAAACGATGAAAATGGGAAAAAAAAAAAGAATTGGATTTTATACTTTGTTGTTTCTAGTTTATTTGTTTTATCCAAGGTTAATTAAATTATTTTGTTATTTATTTTTATTATTATCAATATTGTTTTAATTAATCTCAAAAAAAAAAACGGAAATGCGGCATGCAAGCTGCGTATTGCCGCAGCTTGCAAACAGAGGACCAGGCAGCCCTTCAGCTGCAATTTGAGGAAAGATGTTTAGGGTTGTGGTGCCCATATAAATAGAAAAGGAAAGGCAGCCGGCAAAGGGGGGGAGAAAAAAATGGAAAAAAGGATAGCAGAAACAAAGAGAGGAGGCCGAGACAGGTTTCAGCAAAAAATAAAGCAGAGAAAAACAAAGAAGTTGGCGACGGACGGAGGGGCTGAAAAAACACGAACAAGCGGAAGCAACGGGCTTTAGAGCAGAGAAAAGAAAACAGGCAACGAGGAGAAGTTTTAGGGTGGTGAACGGAAAAGAAAAGAGAGGTCGGAGGAAGGTTGCAGGGGAGAGCTGGGAAAAAGCAAACATCAAAAAGGGAGTGCCGTGGAAGGAAGCTAGCGGTTACGGGCAGAAGGAAAAGAATGGGAAAAGGAAAAACTTCCGAAAGGGAAATTGGAAGCTTCAGGCCGAGGAAAATTGGAAGCTTCAGGCAGAGCAAAAAGGGAGCAACTGAGGAGGAATCTCGGGCAGAAAATGGGGCGGAGGAATTGCTGATTGCCGCTGCCAGGAAAGCGCCACTACCACACCGCCAATCCATCATTGCCGCCTTCGGAATTTCACCGAGAGAAAATATCGTAAGCTGTCCTCTGCCTTTCAATTTCTGTTTCTTTCCAAACACAAACGTTGGAAGCTCTCAAAAGCATGTCTTTTCTGAATTTGCTCATCGCAATGTTTGCCGGTTGTACATGATTGTGAAACATACATGCTATCTGTGATTGTTTGGACTGAATTTCCCTATGTTTTGAACAATTTTAGGGCCAATCATAACTTCAATTGAGCAAAAATCTGATGAAATTCTTGATGCCCCTAATCTGTTCGACGAAATGCCTGAGCTGAAAATTCTTATTGGAAGATGCCTTGTTTACATTTTCGTGTGGAGAAACTAGTTGAATTGGCCGGTTCTTTTCTTTACGATTAAGAAATTTTGATGCATTGCTGTCTTCTACTTCTTTGCTTCCCATGTTTCCGGATTGAATGAACTCAATTTGAAATGGTAGGATAACAAGTTTGTGTGAGTTTCATTTTTTTTTGGGATTAGCCAGAGTTGAATTTTCTGGTGTTCATTTGCCCGCAAAGCAAAAATGAAAACAGCAGCGGATGGCTAATCTGTTTGGAGAAGATGACCATTTGATTAAATTCATGATTCCAGTCCCTCAATTTCCTTTTCCATTATGATTTAACCCCAGAATTTTAGAACTTCATAATTTGCCCCCTGAAACTGTTGTATTTCCTTCAATTAGATCCCTGTTTTGTTGCATATGAACCCCTCAAGTTCTCCCCTCATTCTGATATGACCCAAAAATTAGAAAAGTTGAACTTACTTCATCCTTTTGAATTTTAATCATCATCTCATTTTCTTAAGTAGCCTTTTGGGTTAGATTAATTCTTGTTTGTGGGTCATAATTGTGGCTTAATAATTTTGTTGATTTGTTTATCTTGTTGGGTTTAATGAAATAAATGTTTAGGGCAAGAGGATATTTTGTGTTTGGGTTTGAGAAAGTTGTTTTAGTTTATTTTGTTTGTTTTTTGGTTTGGGCTAGAGATTCATGACCCATCTGTTTGGTTGGCTAATTTTGGGTCAAAATAGTTAAGCTAACCCATCTGTTTTTGCTTGGGTTTTCGGTTGGACTAGGAAAAGTTTGGCCCAAACGAACAAATAAAATGACCCATTCCCTTTTTGTTATGAATTTCCATTGGGCTGGGAAGCTTTGGCCCAAACAAATAATAAAATGGCCCCATGGCCTGGTCCATTAAGAAACCAGAGAACGCATTTGCAGATCAGTCCCTGTACTTTTCTTTAATTTCACTGTGGCCCTGGATATTTTCAACTACTTTCAATTTGGTCCTTACTTTAATTGCAAATAAGTCCTTGAACTTTATTTTTCTTTAATTTTGGCCCCAAAACTTTGCCAATCTTTGCAATCAAGTCCTTTCTTCTCTTGACTTCTTAAATGTGGGTTGTTGACATGATTTAATTGATTCAAATTCATGTTTATTTTTATCCTTTGTGATTATTTGTCAAATAAATTGGTGCCTTGACCCTTTTTATTGTTTTGAAGCTAATACCTCATTTACTCGATTTCCATTGCAAGGGAGGTAACTTCTATATTCTTGAGTTATTTTTCCTACGTGCTCCTACGTGTTATGTGAATATACATGTCTACTTTGCTTTCCTAGTCTTTCTTTAATTTCTTTTATTTATGTCATTTACTTCTGCTTTTTATTTAAGTTATTCTTTATGGGATATGTGTACACCTCTTGGCTTGTAATAGTTAGGGATCTAATTATTTTATTCCTTTTCCCCCTTTTAGATTGTAGTAGGGTCTCCCTAATGTAATAGATAGGGCTTGGAGGAGCATTCAATGAAGACCTATCGAAGTCATGTGCCTAGCTAGCAAATGTAATAGTTAGGGCTTTGATTGTCTTATGTGTCTTGCATGCTTAGTTACTACGTGTTAATTTGCTTTGTTAGGGCCTTGCATCTAGTCGAGCATGCTAAATGTTATGTGCTATGTGTTTATAAGTGTTTGGCATGTCTACTCGCTTTCCATAGCCTGAATGAATGTGATGGATGAATGTACGTTTCCACTAGTCCAACGCTAGTCGGAATTCATAGAATGGGCTAGTCCAACGGTAGACCCTTAGGGATTTCCCCTCGTTAGTACATGTTTGCATGTTCATTACATGTCATGCATTCTTTTTAGTTTTATCATTTTGCATGCCCCTCGAACCCCTTTTCCCTCCATTTTAGGATTTTTGCATTTCATGCTAGTTATGGGGTTCATTTACTTGAGAGTCCCCTTAAATATGGGATATAGACGAGTGTGGCTTTTTCTAAGCCTTAGCACGCTTGTATTCCCTCTATAAAAGGGCAAATTGAGTCACGATTTAGGTCTCCCCGTACCCAATATGCATGAATTCCCTAGGCTCATGCATTTTTAAATATACTCTACCATTTTATACCCTCATCACACTTTCATTTTTCCTCCCATTTTGCACACGTGCACCTTTATGTTTCTTCACTTGCACACGAACACTTTTATCATCACTTGCACACATGCACTTCATATTATCATTTCACATACCGTACCTTGCCCACTCACGTGCACATTTTCATTTACATATTTATTGTTTTTTATTAATTTTTCAAACTCATGTCCTCACATTGCATACATGCATTCCATTCATTTGCATCCCACTCGCATTATTCGTGACTTCTTCAAAGGATCGTTATTGGGCTTCACAATTAATGTGATTGGCACCACTCAACCTTTGAAGAGAAATTTCCCGCAATACCCCTAGGTCTAGGGTTTGCATTCATGTAGCGCATCCAAATGTAATAAATTCTTTGGTTAAAACAAGAAAATCTTTGATTAAATCATGCAACTAGCCTTGGCTAGGTCAAAGGGGTGCCTTGGATTTTATCCTTGCCTTCCCCTTTGTCAAATATGACTCCCGAACCTTTTTCTTTGGTTTACGTAGACTAGGAGTCGTTTAAAAAGGGTTTTCCCACTACTTTTTCCTATTTTTCTTTAAAAATACATTTTTTTAGGTGACTTGGTACACCTTAACTCATTACCAAGTGGCGACTCCGTATTTTGTTTCAAAAAAACCCTTTTTAAACTATAATTTTGGGTCGAATCGTCGCATTCTCAAACCCCCATTTAGACCCATTTTTCTTTTAAATCACAATTCATTTTCCAATCACAAAAAATACATTTTTTAAACCATTTATTTATTTATCAAAAAAATGGGGCGCGACAGAAACAAATACAAGAGGCTACTAAATACACATGCTATGCCTATTTCTCCAGTAGATCATATGCTTGTTGATGTTCCTATTGATAATCATATATCACTTTTAGCTCTATTGAAAGCCAAGTGTATGTGCTTTCAAATGCCAGTTGTTGACCTTTGTGATCAATCAATCATGCATTCAAACTCGACAAATGATACTATTGATCAGAGTATTCTTCAGACTCCTGAACTCATTATTCTATATTGGCTATTAAATCCCTATGAAAACTCACAAATTACCAGTATTTCTTTTTGCTCTATCACAGTTCTTGCAGCAACTGACTGTGTGCTTTCTGATAATATCCTTCCTTCGACCACTTTTGAAACAAATATCCTACACCATTCTTCAGCGCTAGATTTAGGTAGGCTTACTAATTATTTTATCTGCTATACTGTTCTCTCTGATTAGTATATGCTAACAGCCATTAGTTTCATTCTCTTATGAATGCTTCCTTCTGTATTGTGGTCTCTTCTGTGATCTTGTTATCCTCTACTATCAACTCTTCTATCTCAAGGCTATCCATCAACCAGCAATCCGCAGCGTCCAATTGGTAGCTAGATATTTTAAATTTATGCATGCAAATGTGTGTATGTGCGCGTCTTGGATTCTTTACATTTTTTCTGTTCTTTCTATTAGTTAGAAGCACCTGTATTTCATATCATATAGGTCTGCATCACCCAAGAAGAAACATACCATTATTAGAACAGATACCACTTCAGCCAAGTGTTTTGCCAGAGGTTCCAGACTGTATGTTTTGTCGTGCTCAGCGATTTTATATGGAGCCACTAAGATTCTATTGTTCAGCGGGCAAAATTCACTTAGCAGAAACTCAAATGCCAGATAAATTAGTTCATGTTTATAAGGCAAATACTCCTGAAGCTAGAAAGTTTCGATTTTGCATCTGAAGTTACGACAATATGCTTGCCTTTACATCCTTGGGCGTTCATTATGACAAAGATTTAAGTAGAAAGAATAAAGGTATATACATATTCAGGGTACAAGGCTAGATTTATCACTTCATCAACCCATTAGTTCCTTCTAAAGATGAAAAAGCAGCGAACTTGCAATTATATTTTTATGATACATAGCATGAGATAGCAGATCGGATGGCAATTTCTAGCAAGTTCAGAGAATCCATTGTCTAGTAGCTTAAAGACATTCTTCATGATAATCCTTACTCCACTTTCATAAGAAGTTTGGTAGACCTTCATGATCTGGAAGATTATAAAATTTTCTTGAATTTAGATCCAGGTTTGGATAAAAGAGTTTACAACCTTCCTGCAGTGTCTCAAATAGCAGCAATACGGAATGAAAATGATCATAGCACTGGTGATGGCACTAGAAATATCTAGATCTTCATAAAGGTAGGAAGCAAGCGTATACTAAAACAGTGCTATGGATGTTATGATACGCTCCGGTATCCACTTATATTTACAAGAGGTGAAACTAGATGGCATAAAGGTATACTACAGATACCAAAATCGAATATTCTTAACCAATCATGTGCAACATGCTAGAAAGAAAACATTGTCTCAGTCCAGAATTGCTCACACATAGATGAAGTTATATCTACAGAACAAAAAGGTATTAATAAAAATTGTAGAATTAATCATAGTACCAAAACACTCACTCACATTTATTTATATTTTGCTGCCTTCTACTCAATTCCAACTTGATATTTTTACTTCTTACAACTAATTACAATTCCAAAACATTGATGCACATTTACTTATATCTTACTTCTGTGCCTTTAGTTTCTAATTCATATTCTCACCCATTTTTGACAGTGACCAAAAAAAAAGAAGACCAAGAGACCAACAGTATCTTGCCGTAAATATTATACATACAAGTTTCAAATAAGAGATGGCGATGAGTCAAATCTATTACACATAGGATGACTGCTACAGCAGTACTCAGTAGAAACATATGTTAAGCTAGAGACATCATGCTTGGAATTTCACAGAAACAGGCAGCAACACTTGAGAACTGAAATTTATCAAGGATTGATGGATAGTATGACAAATAGTGAGACTTTGGGATCAAACATTGGAAAGCGAATTATTTTTCCCGTATATAAAAGGTCCCAGAGACTGTGTCGAAGATATATGGATGCCATGTCATTTGTTCAACGGTATGGAAAATCTGACATCTTTCTTATAATGACACGCAATCCGTCCTAGCCAGAGATAAAAAAATATTTAGCAGATGAAGATGAAATCCAAAATAGACCAGATTTAGTTTCTCGAGTATTTCGAGCAAAAATTGAATAATTAAAAGATGATTTATTCAAGAGAAATCTCTTTGGTGAAGTTGCAGCTTATACGTATGTGATCGAGTTTAAAAAATGAGGATTGCCACATGCTCATTTCCTAATTATCCTCAAACAAAGATCAAAGATGTTTTCATTTGAAACATATGATAGAATTGTCTGTGCAGAGCTACCAGATCCAAAAGAGTCATCCTATTTATATTCATTGCTAATAAAACATATGCTTGATAGACCATGCGATGCACTAAATCCAAATAGCCCGTATATGCGTCAGAATAGCAAGTGTAAAAATAACTATCCAAAAGATTTTTTTGCATACACTAAACATGTAAAAAACTCCTATCCTATTTACAGAAGGCACAATGATGGAAGAAATGTTGTTATCAGAAATCATGAACTTAATAATCTGTTGGTTATCCCATATAATGCATATCTGCTTGCAAACTTTGACTGCCGCATCAATGTCAAGATATGCTCTGCTATTGAAGTAATGAAATATATTTACAAGTACATCTACAAAGGGCACAACAAGATTATGTATCAGATCACTGCTTAACAAGCAGAAAATATCATTGATGAGATTCATAATTTTCAATTTGCTAGATGGATATGTGCTCTTGAAGCTATGTGGAGGATATTTGCATTTGATTTAACTAACATTCATCCATCAGTAATGACAATGCACTTACATTTGGAAAATTATCAGTCTATATCATTTACTGAAAATCAGGCATTACAGGATGTTCTTGCCAATGAGAGAAATTCAAGGACAATGTTAATAGAATTTTTCTCTATGAATCGAACAAATAAAAGAGCACAGGATCTCAATTGTCTGTACAAAGAATTTCCCTGATACTTTACTTGGGATGAAGGTGCCAGAATATGGATTGAAAGAAAACGTGGAGAGGTCATTAGCCATGTTAACACAGCACACCCCATTGAAGGAGAAAGATACTACCTAAGAATGTTACTTATGCATGTAAGAAAACCAACCTCTTTTGATGACTTAAAATCTGCTGATGCTCACCTAGAATCCTCATACAAAGAAGCAGCAAAACTTCGTGGATTACTCCAAGCAGACAATGGTTTTGATGAATGTTTATCTAATGTACTTGTGTACAACATGCCAATTTCCCTGAGACAACTTTTTGCTGTCTTACTGGTACACTATCCACCAACAAATCCAAGAACCATTTGGTTGAAATTTGAGAATTATCTATCAGAAGACATCAAAAAGAATTTGGCATTATCACAGCAACAAGTGCAAATTCAAGTTCTCAGACTCATTGACCAACATATCCAAATCATGGAAAAAGATATAAGTGACTACAAGCTCACAGACATTCCTTATCATCTGTTGTGCTCAGATAACTCTGCCAAAGAAATTGAAGCTGAGTACCAAATACCTATTTCTGACAAAGATTTGGTTTCGATTTCAATGTTGAATAGAGTACACAAATTTGCATTTGACAAAATAATGGAAAAGGTCAATGCAAATGTTCCTGTTGCCTTCTTCATTGATGGTCCTAGTGGAACTGGAAATCATTTTTTATAAAGCATTGCTTGCAATTGTCAGATCAAGAGATCATATTGTACTAGCAACAACAACCTTTGGTGCTACAGCATCACTATTACCTAGAGGATGTATGACACACTCTCGTTTCAAGATTCCACTTCACCAAGAGAATAGACAAACCTGTAACATCTCAAAACAAAGCAACTTCAATAAGCTTCTAAAGCTTGCAAAGTTAATTATATGGGATGAAGTAGCAATAGTTAAGAAATATGCAATTGAATCATTCGGTACAATGCTTCATGATATTCCGCATTCTGATATTATATTTGGTGGTAATTTTTGACAAACTCTCCTTGTTGTTCGAAGAGGTTAGAAAAAAGATTATATATTTGCATCACTCATCAATTCTTACAACAGGCCTCATCTACAAAAAATACAACTAACTAAAAATATGTGAGCTCGATTGGACCCTCAATTTTCTGATCTTCTGCTTAGAATTGGGAATGGCATGCAACCAACATTTGGAGATAGCAAAATTCAATTGCCATTGCCAATCCTAATACCTTTTGTGGATGATGATGTTTCTATTGATGAATTAATAAGTGTCATCTATCTATCGCTCAATGATTTCATTCACAACACTTCAAGTGTTATCAATAGGGCCATTCTTACTACAACAAATGACTTTGTCCATGATATAAAAGCCTTTGGATTGAGAGGTTTCCTGGTCAAGAAACAAGATACATGAGTTTCGATCAAACAATTGACCCCTCAAGACAAGCTGATCACAGAGATTTTCTCAACACTATCCAGCCATCAGGATTGCCGCCCCATGAGTTAATCTTGAAACCTTATTGTCCTATAATTCTTTTGAGAAATTTGAATCCTACTGAAGGTTTGTGTAATGGAATACATTTAATTTGTTTGAATTTTGCTCGCAATCTCTTTCATGCACAAATTGCTTTAGGAAATCACAGTGGAAAACAAGCTTCATTTCTCGCATTCCACTTCCTAGCTGAAATGATGAATCATATCTAATACCACTCAAGTGAACTCAATTTCTTGTTTCACTCTATTTTGTAATGACTATTAACAAATCACAGGGTCAGACACTTGATTTTGTTGGAATATATTTAAAAGAGCTAGTCTTTTCACATGGCCAGTTGTATGTTGCAATGTCAAGGGCAAGAACTGCAGAAAAAATAAAGATACTTCTAAGACCAGTTACCCTTGAATCCATGCACTACAAGAAAATTGATTTTTAGTGACAAGCCATTTTCGTCACACAAACAAAAAAAGTTGCCATTGATAAGTTTTATTGACAACTTTCTAGTCGTCACTAAAGGCCCGTCGGTAAAAGTATACAGTGACAACCTTAAAAGTCGCCAGTGAATGGTACTATTTTGCGACAACTCGTGTCATTAGTAATTGTTGTAATTTTAGTGATGACATAATATCTTGTCAATGATGTACAAAAGCAGTATCGTTACTAAAACTAATCCATAGTGTCAACTGGTATAAACTAATTACTGACAACTTCTGTTCTCACTAAACAGTTTTCAATTCCATAACAATAGGTGATTGTCAATGGAGAAATCTAATTCAGTGACAACACTTTGCCACCATGAAATTTGATGATTTTCCTTCTAAATTATATCTTAAAAATGAAAAAAAAAACAATGCTTTACCATTAACAAATGAAGGCATCCATTACATTATGAAATGCTAAAATACCATTTTAAGCATTCGAATATCATAATCAAGTTCAATAACACCATACAAATAGTTTCAATAACACCATACAAATAGTTTGATAAGTAGTATTTGGCCTAAATTTCACATAGAAGTCAAGACAGTTTTACAAAACAAATCCAAGTCCCCAAAAAAATGTGTTGTCGAACTTCATAATCTTATGTCGAACTCCAAGTCAATTTTATTATGCAGTCATCTTCATGATCTTGCTGAACTTCCAGAACTTCTATGTCTTCTTGATGTATAGATCTTGTTTTGCTGCTACATGAATCCATTAGAGGCAAACAAAACCTACATTGAAAGTATAAAATAATGAAATACAATAATGCCATGCCAACTTATCTTAGTAATGGATACGTAACAATTGCAGGTATATTTGTCGCGCCCCATTTTTTTATAAAAATAAAAGAAATGGTTTTAAAAGGTGAATGTTTGTTTTGGAAAATGAATTTTGATTTACAAGGGAAAATGAAGAAAAATATGGGTCTAAATGGGACATGAAAATGTGACGATTTGATCCAAAATATAGTTTAAAAAGGGTTTTTTGAAATAAAAATTGGAGTCGCCACTTGGTATAGAGTTAAGGTGTACCAAGTCACCTAAAATGAATTTTTTAAAGGAAAAAGTAGAAAGAAACCCCTTTTAAACGACTCCTAGTCTACGTAAACCAACGAAAAAGGTTCGGGAGTTACATTTGACGAAGAGGAAGGCAAGGATAAAAATCCAAGGTACCCCTTTGACCTAGCCAAGGCTAGTTGCATGATTTAGTCAAAGATTTTCTTGTTTTAACCAAAGAATTATCACATTTGGATGTACTATATGAATGCAAATCCTAGACCTAGGGGGCATTGGGGGGCAAAATTTCTCTTCAAAACTTGAATGGTTCCAATCACATTAATTGTGACGCCCAATAATGACTCTCTGGAGAGGTCACAAATAATGCAAAAATATGAGACTCTAAGAAAAGAAAAAGGAACAAAATAATTATAGAAATATACATGTCTTAAAGGAATGCATCATGTTGGGTACGGGGGACTAATGTTCGTGACTCAATTCTCCCTTTTAATAGAGGGAATATGAGCGTACTAAGGCTAGAAAAGCCAAACTCGTCCATATCCCATATCCAAGGGGCTTATTCCCTAATCTAATCAAGCAAATGGTTTAACCTAATTCTAATGCTTATATGAAATGCAAGTCTAATGTCATGTTTCATACAAAAGGGGCAAGTAATATACATATAAGGGAAAATATAGGGGAAGGGTTATACATATATAAGGAAAGTGTCATGTGACATGGTGAAAAAGGCCCTAGAAAGTAAAGATATGCATGAGATGAAGTGATCACACAATCATGATCTATCGTGCGAAGGGCTCCTAAGGGCTAGCGTTGGACTAGCCCACATCTACGCTCTCTCACAAGCATTGGACTTGCAAGAGCTCGAGGGGACAACCATGACTAGCATTGGATTAGCCACGGTTACGTGCATTTGCATCCATCATACACACATATATAAGTAATGTGCATAATTAAAGCAAGTAGACATGTGAGCACGTAATTCACATAACACATAAGCATGCATATCTAGATGCCAAAACCTAAGAAAGCGGTAACACATAGCACATAGACATGCAAAACACACAAAGAAAAATCAAAAGAAACCCTAACTATTACATTAGGAGGGGGGAAGCCTATTACAATCTAAAAGGGGAAATAAGAAGGAATAAAACAATTAAATCCCTAACTATTACAATTTTGGCATTCGAGTGCCTCCCAAATGATAAAATTGAACTAAAATTAAAGCAAAAACCAAGCAACCAAAGAAATAAATAAGGTGAAAATGAAATAAACACTTAAAGTCATGCAATTGCACACATAAGACACATATACGCACGTAGGGTCAAATAAAGTCAAAAATAAAGGATAGAGTGTACCTCCCTTGCAATGGTAATCAAATGAAGGAAGAATAGCTTTAAAACAATAAAAGGGTCAAGGCACCAATTAAATAGTAAAGTATAAACAAAATCACCAAATCCCTCCCAATTGCAACTTAAATGAAATCACATAATGCATAATTTTCCAAGAAAGTAAATTACTGATCAAATTTCTAAAATAGAAAAACTGCCAAGGACCAAATTGCAAATATTAACCAATCATTCGGGTCCAATCAGAAGTTTAGGGAACTTCAAAGGTCCAAAAATAATAAAAAGGTCAAGTAATGGTTCAGATTGCAATTATTCTAGGACCTAATTGCAAGACATCAACACATAATTGGGCCTTTCTAGCATTGATGGAAACTGAAGGGAGTAAAGTGCAATTTCTAGAAGCCATTTTTCATGCAAAACTCCATGCAAATTGCTTACGAAGATGATTTCTGCAACACTTGCTGCATTTTTATTTTCGGCATTTCAAACCCAAAGACCACAATTTCGATCCAAATTCTTTCAACCAGACAACGAAACTTTGACTAAACAACAAGTCTCATGACTTCAATATCCAACACCAGCCAAAACACAGAGAGGAAATCACGCAAATGCTGGAGAAATTTGTGCAGAAATGGTTTAGCAATCATGATTCGTTTCCTTTCAGCAAGCATTCGATCACAGCTTAAGCATTCTTTTTAGACCCAAACACACAAACCCAACACCAAATCATTCCATTCCTTGCCCTCCACACCAGATTAAGCATGCAACTTAAGTGTAAAGACTCGATGAGCAGCCACGGAAAACATAACAGAACAGAAAATATAACTTCTTTTGTTTTCGCTGCAAAATTTTTGCAGCTACAAGCTTGTGTATATTAAATGTCGAAACATTGCATTAGACTCACCATTTATCCACCAAACGCACACACATTTTCCAAACATCAATTTTAACAGTGAGGAAACAAAAAAAGCAGCAAAGAAAGCATCGACATTCACTTGAGATGTCGAATCAAAAACATTCGAGGAAACATTTCGACTTTCGGACTATGAAGCAAACCAAAGTGCCAGATATTTGCACCGGGAGTTTCGAGACAACATCTTGCAATCAGGAAAGCTGATGTGTAAATATCAGCCAAGTATGAAAGAAATCACAAGCTTCGAACAAGCTAAAATTTGAACAAGCAAAGGAACAAATCTGCTCAGGCTACTGCAACAACCGAGAGCTTCAAACTTTGCTGAAGCAGATTTTTATGTGCAAATCCAAACACAATTTGAACTCAAGTAACAAAATCACCAAAGGAAAAAAAACTCACGGGACACATCCCTTACAACTTCTAACAAGATCATGCAGTCCATTAAAAACCAT